TTTCTTTCTTTCTTTCTTTCTTTCTTTCTTTCTTTCTTTCTTTCTTTCTTTCTTTCTTTCTTCTTTCTTTCGTCTTTCTTTCTTTCTTTCTTTTTTTCTGCAGTTCTGGGGCTTGAACTCAGGGCCTTTCCACTGAGCTACATCCTAAGCCCTATTTAATTTTTTTATTATTTTGAGACAGGGTCTCACTAAATCACTGAGTTACCTAGAGAGGGCTCAAACTTTCGATCCTCCTGCCTCAGCCTCTTGGAATGCTGGGATCACAGGTGTGTGCCACCCTGTCCAGCTACATGTGCCCCTTCTCCTCCTCTTTCTCCTCCTCCCCCTCCTCCTCCTTCTTCTTCTTCTTCTTTTGGTGCTGGGAATCAAACATGTGCACTTTCTGTTGCTCAATTCTGCTGTGTGTGGAAGTCATCCTGGAGAAAGGCTGCGTGGAGAGGCCAGGACTAGGGAATGCAGGCAAAGGATGGCAGTGGGGCCGTGGGTCAGAATGGGGGTACTGGTACAGAGTGACCTGGATGGATTTTGGAGCCATTTAGAAGCTAACATTTCACAGGAAGTGGCAAATAAATACATGAGAGGGGCTGGATGAAGAGTTAGCTAAAAATTACACTCTACTTACTTTGCTGGGGCAATTTGGTGGTTGGCAACACCCTCGCTGAGTGGGGACTTGGAGAAGGAGGTGCACACGTGGTAAGTGGGCTTGGGTCTGGTAACCACCCAGGTGGCGACGTCCAGGGGGCAAATGGGAATCCAACATGCAGCTCAGGAGAGGCTCTGCAGGAGAAAGGCACCTGGAAGATGGGAACGTCAGGGCCCATGGTCACTGGGGACATCCCTGGCCCTTCCGGCCAGGATGGGCCACCTAAACATCTCTGTTACCTGTAGCCTTGGAGTGCCTGCTGAAAAATGCCCCCAGGCCCTGGACCTCAGCTGCTCTCCCAGCCCCTATCTGCTTCTTACTTTCTTCCCTGAAGCCCCGTAGCGTCTGACTGTGTCAGGAACAGTCTTTCTTTTACTACTGTGAGGTTCCAGGCTCCAACCAGTTTCTGCTTAAGTTTTCCCCATGACTTTGGCATTTTCACTTCGACATTTTCCCCAAGAGCTGGGGTGTGGGAGGGGTGACCCCAGGCCCAGGTGGTGACGTTGGGGGCTGGCCTAGGCCTGGAGAGTGGAGAAGCCTCGCTACCCTGCTTCCTGTCTCTCTTCATTTTAAGAACATCTCTGCAGCAGTAAGCAAGCCCTCTCCCCACAGGGCTCCTAGTTGCAAAGCCCCACGCCCTCACATCTGTTCAAGGAACAAGAGGAAGAAAGACAGGCTTGGAGGTAAGAGGGGCAGCTTTAGCTGGAAGGGCCATCCCTGGAAGGGACACGAACATGGCGGCCCATGCACTGGAGCATGCCAGACTCTCAGGCCTCTGCCCACAGCGGTGGCCACCTTCTCTTGCATTTCTCTCACAACTGGTCCTAAGCTATCTGTCACTGCAACTGTGAGCTTCAAGAGGCCAGGACTACCCCATGTTCCTCTGTGCAGCCCCGCCAGGCTCAGATCCTCACAAGATCGGAAAAGGCCCAGTGGAGCAAAGCAGTAGAAGGCAATTAGTCATGGGACAGGGGACAGGGTGAAGCCCGAAAGAGGGAAAGAGCAGGAAAAGAGCTAAGAAGTAAAAAGGGGAAATGAGAAGGATAAGTATACTGGTGGGAGATCTATAAAGAAGCGAAAAGAGGAGAAAAATGGTAAAAGCAAGAAAAAAAGAGAATGAGAAATGGAATCTGGTCAAGAGACGGTTTTCCTAAAATTAATTTCTGCAGTGACACAACCACTAAAAAGTCACACCTCTAATCACACCTGCAGCATTTCTTAAACCACACAATCTATGTAGCTGCTCTTAACTCTTTTGGATTTATGTGTATTTTAAAGTTTAACTCTACTTTTGCGCATTTTTAGAATTTTTGAACAATATGTCTAAAGACACTTCTGTTTTCCTTAGCTTGATTAAGAAAATAGGAGGTTAAAATTCTCAAAAAATATTGAAACTGATCTCATGAAATGCTATATATATATATATATATATATATATATATATATACTATTTTTAAGATAAGGATGACATTAGCAATGTCATGATTTGACGAGAACGGGTTTTAGGTGTACCTGGAGGCTAGGGGAGGTAGAAAAGGGTTGTAGGACACCCCACACCACCCTGGGCTTGGTGAGGTGTGGCGGAGACATGGGACGCCATAGTCCTCAAGTACAATCCCTCTAGGACTCTAGCTTCCGGGCTCCGCACTGTCAGCCTTTCCCTTCTCCAGAGACCTAGTGGCCTTCGAAGCCGTTCTGTGCCGCCCTTTACCTCATAGAATTGTTCTGAAGGAGAATTCTCCTGGGGTACACTGTGATCCCTAAAGCAGAAAGACTCCGCTCATGAAAGATCCCACTCTATGTGGGATAGTCTTTGTGAGCGTCCTGCTATTTTGTAAGGCACCTTTTTAAGAGCGCAAGGCTGGGAGAGGAATGTGGTAAGGGAGATCACTGCTGTTTCATATTTTGATAAACAATTTCTGTGCTGTCAGACCTGTGGGCTAATACAAAATGGCTGCTCTGAGTCTCAGGAGGTGGCCTCCCTCCTTTAGGCTGGGGACACTTATACGGAAGAGGCCTACCTTTGAATAAATATCATCCCACATCACTTGGTGATAGGTAGAGCCTTCAAGCAGCCTCAGGCCCTGCCCTTGGCCATAATAGGAAGGTGGCACGCTGAGGAGTTGGGGGCCAAGGGTCTCCACACTGTAGACACGCAGTAAATGTGCGTTGAATAAGTAACTTGGATGGAGATGGGACCCCAGACACCAGGGCGCTGGGTGGGGGAGACGTGCGGGATTGGAAGGCTGAGCTCCATCTGTACCTCTCTTTGGGGGGGTGCAGGGCTCCCTGTGTGGGTGTCTGAGGCAAAGGAGAGGATGGTGGAGGTTGCAGCCACCAAACCACAAGAGTCCCTTCGAGGGGTCTGGGTCTCTAGGAAGTTTACACGAAGCCAGGCAGCAGTCGACAGAATGTGTGTGCTGGAGGGTGCATCCCGCCGCTGGAGGCTTGAGTGGGCCGTGGGGTAAAGATAAAAGTGCCTGTGGGACCACAGACTGTCACTGTGGTGGGGCTGTGCCCTCTTCCTCCCCCCAGCCCTCATCCCATCCCTGGGGCCAGGGTGAGGGCTGTGGGAACCTCAAGAGCCTTGGGGTGTGTGGGGCGCGTGTTGCCATTTTGGTCACATCGCATCCTCCTCTCTGTGTGCCTCTCGCCTCCAGAGTTTTTCATTGCTTTGCCTCCCCCTTCCGTTTCTGCCCAGCCTGCGCTGTGCACGGGGTGGAAGATTGTATGAAGGGTGGCTGCTGCTTTCAAGAGCCACTCCGTGTCTCTCCCTGCTTCCCTCTGGGTCTCCCTGGGGGCCTCCGAATGTTTCTCGGGAAATCAGTCCTCTTCTTTGTCTGCTGTGTCCCTCCCACCCTGCGGCCATCTCCTCTCTCCACTCAGCGCAAGCCACGGCTCTGCAGCCCTGCTGGATCAGAGCTCAGCCTGTGCCGCCAGAGGCTGGGGTGCTGTGGGCAGGGTGGCGGGAACTAGACCCCAGTGGCAGTAGCTGGAGAGGGGAAGGACAAGGAAGAAAGGGCAGGGGCACTCGGAGCAGGAAGAGACAGGCAGAGCCTGGCACGGAGGAGGAGAGGCACCCACAGGGAGTTGGAAGCTGAAGCCAGGGACAGGGGGAAGCACAGATTCAGAAATGCATAAGCAGAGAAATAAGCAAAGGAAGAGAGAGGGAGGGAGGGGGAGGGGGAGAGAGAGAGAAAACGAGAGAGCCAGCCTCGGGAGACCACAAGCTCTCTTGGCCTCTCCCAGGGGTGACGGTGCACAGGATGCTACTGTACTGAGGCTGAGGGCCTCTGGGGACGCTGAGGATGTGGAAATCAAAGGCCAGATCTCTAGGGCGGCAGCGGAAGCCAAAGCACCAAAGCAAGCAGCGGCTGGAAACCCACAGCCTCCTGTACTAAGCGGAGCCCTGGGTGGGGCGGGGGAGCACAGGGAGCTGGAGGCAGGGAGGAGGTGGCTTTCTAAACTGGCCCCAGCTCCAGATGATGGATGGGGGAGACACAAAGGCTACCACTTGGGGAAGAGCCTAGAACGCCCCTCCACACTGTCAGACTTCTTACAGGATCTCGGAGCAGGGAGATCACCCATGGGCACCACCCCCTACCCTCTGCTCACCGAAAACAGAGGCAGTGTGGGGTGGGGATACAGTGGGACGCTTTTGGGTATGAGGTTCCCCTACCCCACTCCTCACCCCAGCCTTCCCCTAAGTGCTTCCCATGCCACCCTGCAGTAACTTGTAAACAACCTCCCCCTGACTACCAACAAGCCCCCTTCCTGACCCTTCTCTTCCTGGTTCCCTGGTGTCAGCAAAATCTGTCATCCCTCTGTCCATCCGTATTTATCTGTCTTTCTGTCTCAAACATCCACCACATGTTAGGCTCTGTCTGTATTTATCTGTCTCTGTGTCAAGCATCAACAACGCGTTAGGCCCTGAGTAATTCCTCTTCCGGGCAGACGGAGGAATTGGACGGGAGCTCTCTTTTCTCCCCTAGCCTCACAGGAGAGAAAACCCAGCACTCAGACTCCACCTCATGGGGTTCCTGGGACTGTAGAAAGGGGTTATTTTTACTGAGGTGTGCACAAGATAAGGAAACCAACTGGCATGTTGGGGCCCACAGCCCCTAGTAACAGCAGGGAGTGTGCTACAGCAAAAATTGTGTTTCTGGAACCCAGTGCAGGACTGAGTTGTGGATAAGGGGTTCTCTGGCCAGAGTTGTAGCGGAGAGGGCCGAGATAACTCTTGCCAGAAAATAGCTCCAGAGCAGGGAAAAAGAAATGCCTCAGACTCTTGTCTGGATCTTCCCACTTCTCTTTCTAGAACTTTCCACCAGCCAGCCCAAGCTACAGCCCCAGGGCTGGGGGGCTGGCTGGCGGCAGCTGCTTAGTGGAGATCGGCGTAGAGAAGATGGAGAAGAATAAGCAGCATGGATTGGGTGACCTGGGTCCACCCAGGACACACTGGGTGTGCACACACACTTGTATGATCCATTATCTATTTACTTACTTATTTTTCATTCCTTTTTTGAGGTGCTGGAGGTTGACCCCCAGGGCCTTGTATTTGTTAGGCAAGCACTCTACCACTCAGCCATGTCCCCAGCCAGCCGCAATGGCCCGTTTTACATGCGGAAGTAGTATGTTTCATACAGCAAAGCCATCAGTGATTTCTCTTCCCCCATTCAATGTGATCTGTTATAAGGGGCTGGGGATTTAGCTCAGTGGCAAAAGCACCTGCCTGGCAAGCGCAAGGTCGTGAGTTCGGTTCCCGGTACCGGAGAAAAACCAAATGTGATCTGTTATAATTTAACTAAACTTGTCCTGAGTCCCTTCTCTATGTTTTGCTGGTGTCGGGCCTGTGGTGGCTGCACAGCTGGCTGGGCTATTATCCCTTTCCTCACGGAGTTCAAGCTGGTTGGGGAGAAATCGGGACCCCAAATCATGATGTCATATGGTGGAAGATGCAATACATCCAATGGGGTCAACAGGGATCTGGGCGGGTTCAGAGGGGGCCCGATGGTTGCAGAGCTCAGAAAGCAGAGGTGACTAGGGGAAAGAAAGCTCGGGCTTGGGAGGGAGAATAAGTGTGGATGCAGCCCAAGGCCCGTCCAAGCTGAGGCCCACTCAAGGCCCAGGCCTGGACTTCAAAGACTCTTGGGGCCCTGCTCTTGCCTGCTTTTAAGGTGCTATCTGTTGGCCTCCTCTCCTCTCTGTTCCTTTGATGTCAATTACTCTCTACTCACTGTGTTAAGCATCCTGAAACTGCGTAGAGTAACAGGCTCTATGCAGCATGGGCTCTAAGTGTTACACCTCTGATCAGAGTCAGCAGTGGGCGAGGGACACAGCTCCATGTGGAGTGCTCCCCCTGCATTCATGACACCCTGGGCATACTCTTCAGCCCTGCAGCGGGTGAGGGGCAGCAGCAGCTCCCTCACCTCCAGAACCAAACCCAGCTCTCAGCCTGCCTGTGAAGATCTACACTCTGATTCCCAAGCCCCTTTCCTGCTTTGCCCCTTGCCCTCCCCACGCCGCTTCTCTCTTCTCCCCTTACACAAAGCCCCCCTCCAACTTGCCCACACCCCAGTACACTAGGCCAGGAATGCCCTTCCCCTCTCCCTCCTGCTCACTCTGGGTTCTCAGACCTGAGTAGGTGTCCGTCACCTGGAGACCCAGCCCTGCAGGTCTGGGGCAGGCCTGGGAATCTGCCTTCTGACACATTCCCTGGCAATGCTGAGGGTGCTGACCCAGGATTTCCTCTTGGAATCGCTCCTGCGGGTGATGCTGTTCTTCCTCATGGCACACTCAGAGCGGTTCTGAAGGAAGGGCCTTGGCCATCTTCCAGACCTGCCAGAGTCGTCCTTCCCCTAAATGGCCTCTTGCCAGGGCCCCACTGGCCCAACAGGCCTCACAGGGTGGTCCAACTGTGAGCAGATGACCTCTGTTCTTCCTCCTGGTCCTCACACTGGATTAGGCTCCAAGTGTGAGAATTTTACCTCAGAAGTCTCTCAACTCGTCCACATGCCCAGCCACTGTCTCAGATCAGGCATCCTCTTCTCTCACAGCGCTGCAGTCCTGCTCTGCCGCAGGGCTTCCTCCCGCTCCACTTTCACAGCAGCTGCAGGGATCCATGTTGCAAATCGAATTATCTTCTCCAGGTAAAACCCTCTCCAGGCTCCCAATTCCCCAAAACCGAGTCCAGCATCTTAGCACAACATTCACGGACCTGGTTCCATGGTCTCAGTCCCCCTCCTTTTGCCGCCTTCTGCATGAATCCTTTTCTATCCCACCTGTTAAAGAACACATTCTTGGCCTGGGCATAGCATTTTAAAGTTATTTTAACTTAAAAAAAAATTAGGTTGGTGTTTGTGCACACCTGTAATCCCAGCACTCAGGAGGCTGAGGCAGGAGGATTTCTAAGAGTTCAAGGGCAGCCTGGGTTACATAGTGAGTTCAAGGCCAGCCTGAACTACATGATGAGCCCTTTCCTCAAAAAACAAAACAAATAAAAAATTAAAAAGCAACACAAGGGCTTGAGGTATAGCTCAGTGGTGTAACACGTCTGGTATTCATAAAGCTCTAGGTTTGATCCCCAGCACTGCAAAAATAAGATAAAATAAAATAAATGAATAAATAAATAAGTGAATAAATAAGTGCTCACAACGCAGACTCTTCCCCGCCTCGGTGTGGGGTATGTTTCCACGTGTTCCATGCTTTGAAGCCCAAGGATGTCTCTGCTTCACATTGTCCATAGGCCCAGCATCTGGCACACAGGCAGGAGACTCAACCAAATAAAAATAAGAACAAGGCAGCCTCAGTTGAGGGGGTAAATATATTATACACTTGAAAATTACAGTGTCAGGGCTGGGGTGTAGTCCAGGGGTGCAATGCTCGCCTGGCGTGGCAGAGGCCTTGGGTCCTCATCCCCAGCACCTGGAAAAACAAAAATCAAACAACTCAAAACCACAATATCCATAAAAGTGATAGGTAGTTTTTTGTTTTGTTTTGCTTTATTTTGTTTTGTTTTGCTTTGCTTTTGTTTTTTGAGACAGGGTCTTGCTATGTAGTTCAGGATGTTATTCACTGTGTAGCCCAGGCTGGCCTAGAACTAGAGGTGACTGAGGCTTCTCCTGCCTCAGCCTACTGAGTGCTAGGATTACAGGCATTTGCCACCACACCTGGCTTAAAAGTGATAGTTTTTACATGTGAAATAAAACTATCTGGAATTTATCTACTACAGTTTCTGAGCCTGGACTGATACAATGAATTATAATGTTGTAACTATACGTTTGTGTATTACTTATATGAAGCAGAATTGGTAATCCATGTTTAAGGTTTTAAAATAAAACCTGAGGCTGGGGGCTGGGGATTTAACTCAGCGGCACAGCACCTGCCTGGCAAGTGCAAGGTCATGAGTTCAATTTCCGGCACCGGAAAACAAACAAACAAACCAACCTGAGGCTGGTTATGGTGGCACCTACCTGGAATCCCAGCACTTGGGAGGCTGAGGCAGAAGGATTGCAGCTAGTTCAAAGCCAGCCTGGGCTACATAGAGTTTGAGGCCAACTACATAGCAAGGCCCTGTCTAAAAAAAAAAAAAAAAAAGGCAGGCATGGTGGCTCACGGCTGTAATCCCAGCACTCAGGAGGTTGATTGTTTTGAGTCTGAGGCCAGCCTGGGCTACAAAGTGAGCTCAAGGCCAGACTGAACTGCATAGCCAGACCCTGTCTCAAAAAAAGGAAAAAAAAAATCAAACCAGAGCAGAAATACAAGGTAAAAAGAGATTTTTCTCTATGTTGAGCTTCTTTCATGAACTACTTGTTAAAAGCCTCAAATAATCAACAAAACAAGAAAACCCACCCATACTACAATCTCTCAAAACTGGGTATTTCTTAAGCAAAGAGAGAGCAAAAGTAGTTATGTTATTTTCTCCCCAAATACCCCTAGGAATGAGTTCTGCTTTTATTAGAAGACTACAACTAAACTAACTCTCTCCAGCTTGCTGATATACTGGGGATTGAACCTAGGACCTTCACAATGAGCTACACCCTCAGCTTCTTTTCTTATTTTGAGACAGGGTCTTGCTAAGACCCTCAGTTGCCTGGGCTGGTCTGGGAGTTGTGATTCTCCTACCTCAGTCTCCCAGAGTGCTGGGACTGCAGGTGCGCAACACCACGCCAGGCTAAGACTACAACTCTTTCTGTAAGTGCCTGATACTTTAATCTGTATTTGATACTCATGGATATACTAATTTCTCCCTCCCCTTCCTTCCAACCCCCTCCTCTCTCTCATCCGATGCCCTGACAGGCCTGGGAGATTATTATCATGCTACATACTAACATCAGAGATCTCAGCAGGCACAGCCTTTGATGTCACGCACCTCAGGGTTCTGCTTGTATGTGCCCATCGACTAAGGGTCCTGCGAGAGCAAGGTCCCTGTGTGTTCCAGGCCCAACGAATGCCAGCTGACTAACAGTTAGTATCTCCCTCTGTCCCTGTCATTTCTCCAGGTTCAGGCCTCTGATGATTCAGGCCCTCGCCTGCCTCAGCAAGGCCACAATGCCCGCAGGAGTCTCTTCCGGGCTCCTCTTCCTGGTGCTGCACCTGGGTAAGTGTTGGGAGCAGGCAGGGAAGGTGGGGTGCCTGGAAGTGGGAAGATGGGGGTGGGGCAGGAGTGATGGGATTGTGGCTGACTCTTCTTTCCCACCCAGCACTCTGCCCAGTGGTCACTCAGGGAAAGGAAGTGGTGCTGGGCAAAGAAGGGGGCACCGTGGAGCTGCCCTGCACAGTGTCCCAGAGGAGGAGCGTGCCCTTCAGCTGGAAATTTCGCAACGATACCAAGATTCTGGCCCAACAGAACTCCTACCTGATTCGAGGTAGCAATCCCCTGCCCCATCCATGGGCTGAACCCCCTGCCTCAAGGATCTGCTCCCAGAAACTCTGGGACCCCAGGGGGCTGGGTGGTGGAAACTCAGTAGCACTCTTGTCTGGAATTTCCACATGCCAACTGCTGGTGGCAAATCCCTTTTGGTAGTACCTATATTAATTACAATGTCTTACTATTCATGACCTTATTTTAATAGGTAGTGGAAAAATAACTATCCCATAGAACACATCATAAACATGTTATTGCCACAGGTCCATGTAGAATGACACTTTATTTCCATTAAAAGCAATAGAATGCTTCTTTTAAATTTGACTTTGTTGTTTGAGACAGGGTCTCACTCTGTAGTTCAGACTGGCCTTGAACTCACTATGTAACTCAGGCTGACCTCAAACTCACAGCCATCCTCCTGCCTCAGCCTCACTAGTGCTGGGATTACAGGGATGTGCTACCATACCTGGCTCCCTCATTTGTTATTTTTTAATATTTTCTTTTAATTATTAAAAAAAATCCCAAACATATATACAAGTACAATAACTGTATAATCACCCCCATGTATCCCACTCAGCTTCAACAATGATCAATTTATGGTTAACTGTCTTTCCTCTACATCCCCACTGCAACCCCATCACTGAATCATGTCACAAATGCCAGAGACTGTATCATTTAATCTATGAATGCTTCAGTATTTTAGTTTGAAAATGTAATCATTGTTTTGCTGGACGTAGTGGTGCGTGCCTGTAATCCCAGCACTCTGGGAGACTGAGGCAGTTTAGTGACTTGGCAAGACCTTGTTTCATTAAAATAAAATATCTGGGGCTCAGTGCAAAGACCCCAGGCTGAACCTCCAGTATTAAATAAATAAATTCTTTAAAAAAGAATTTACCAGGGTTGAGGATGTAGCTCAGTAGTAGGATACTCGTCTACTCAAGGCCCCAGGTTGGATACTTGGCACAAAATGAACAAAAATGTCATTATTACTCTTTAAAAATTAAAATCAGCTGGGCATGGTGGTGCATGCCTGTAATCCCAGCACTCAGAAGGTTGGGGTAGGAGGATCATTTTGAGTTCGAAACCAACTTGCGCTACAAAGTGAGCTCAAGGCCACCCTGAACTGCATAGCGAGACCCTGTCTCAAAAAAGACAAAAAAATAATAATTAAAATCAATTCCTTAGGTGCTGGGGATTTAGCTCAGCAGCACAGTGCCTGCCTGGCAAGCATGAGGTCGTGAGTTCGATTCCTGGCACCGGAAAAAAGCAAAAACAAACAAATAAAATCAATTCCTTGAATACAATAAATATCTGGTCAGTGTTCAATTTCCACAATTATCTCATAATATTACTTTTATACCTGTTTCCTGAGTGCTGGGATTACAGGTGTATGCCACTACACCTGGTTAACTTTTTCCCCAAGAACATTTCATAGATGTTGTTTTGCAACTCCAATTTCATCACATCGGGAATCATGTAATTTTTATCAGTCTTTTTGTACTATTAAGATTAACTGAGATTCCATTGTTAGTTTTAAGTGACAGTTATAACAATATGGCTCTCAATTTTTTTTTTCTTCTTTTCTTTTCTTATTTTGAGACAGGATCTTGCTATATAGATCAGGCTGGCCTTGAACTCACTATGTAACCCAGGCTGGCCTCAAACTCTCAGTAATCCTCCTGCCTCAGCCTCCTGTGGGCTGGAATTACAGGCATTTGCCACCACGCCTGGCTCATAAAGTTCCTTTTAAAAATAAATTTATTTTAAAAAAAAAGAAAAATAAATTTAAGCAAAGAAGTAAAGATAAATAAATAGATTTATTTAATTTGAAAAAATGAACTCACTTAAAGATGTTACATATATGGAATGGGTAGATTTGGCTAAAACCATGTGTGAAGTCTGAGCATGACAGAAGTTTGGGAAACGCAGCTCCATCGAAGCCTTTGGTTTTACTGGTGAGGCGTCTGAGGTTTCAGTATGTGAATTTGTGGGGGCACAATCCAGTCCATAATGTGTCATATACGAGATGCATTCATCCCATCCCAGCAACCCCAAAAGTCTCAACCCATCCCAGCACCAACTCCAAAGTCTAACATCCAAAATTTCATCCAAGTAGCATCCAAATCAGATATGTATAATATATATTTCATCAAGGTATAATTCATCCTGACGCAGAATTCCTCTCCAGCTGCGAACCTGTGAAATTAGACAAATTAAGTGCTCCCAAAATATAATGGTGGACAGGCACAGGATAGCCTTTTCTATTTCAAAAAGGAGGAAGGGGTGATTAGCAACCTTAGCAAGACAGATTCCATTAGATTCTAAGTAAAACATAAACTCTTAGTTTGCTGATGTGCCCCTAGGTCACTGGAATGGCAGTGACCCCCTGTAGGCAGGGTTCTGTCCCTGTGGTTCTGCTGGGCTGGGGTCTTGTCCCCAAGGCTTCAGATGGAGGCATATGGTCTGCTGAAACTGGAAAAATGGCTCTGATGATCTTGAATCATCACTGGGGTAATTTTTCCCTCTTTTTGAGTAATCCTCTCATTCCTGTCTCATAGCTCTACTGTTTATCCTGTCAACTCCAAGGAGTCCAACAGCTTTCCTCCGTCTCATCCCCCTCTAACCACTTCAGTCCCAATAACCCCACACTCTTTGTTGAATGGTAGTCTAGCCAGTCCTTGGTGCTCTCTTCCAACCGTAGTTCCTCATTTTTGAGGTATGAATAGGTTGAGCGTTTTCCAAAATCTTTGGGTTCTGGTTTTGTTTTTGTTTTGCTTAGAAATCTCCTCAGTTAAACACCCAGTTTCATTACGTGGAAATTCTACCCCCACAGAAGACTAGAAAGTGAACATAATTTAGCCAAAAGTCTTTTCCACTTTATGATAAGAATCCTGTATCTAATAACATGTTCTTCATTTCCATTTAAACCTGGAAACAGTAATGGGCACAGACAAAAATAAAAACAAAAGCTCTACAAAACCCAGCTGTCTTCTAGCTAAAGGCTAAGGAAGAAGCAACCTAGTGAAACAAAGCCCTCCTCTTTTTTTTGGTTTTTTTTTTGAGACAAGGTCTCGCTGTGCAGTTCAGGCTCGCCGTGGGCTCCCTTTGTAGCCCAAACTCAACCCTGCTGCAGAGGTGGTGTCAGAGGAGGGCTGAGGGATAGTCAGGAGGACTTTGGCTGAGAAGCACTGAGAGGGCTGTCCCCAAAGCAGGGTCGCACAGTGATCACGTGGGGGCCCGGAATTCCCACTCAGCCCCGTGGGCGGGGAGGGGCTTCTCCCCAGCTTGGCGAGGGAAGGTCACTTCTGCCTTCATCTGGCAGGCAAAGGCGGTGCGCACCTGCTCTTGATGAAGCAGTGTTGTGATGTTAAAAGCCAATTAAAAGAAAAGGTTTAATACAATCCAGTATCTCATAATCTAATGCTCTAATGTCCAAGTTTCTATCAAAAACCACTCAGTACTAAGAATCAGGAAGAACTCAAATTGAGTGGAAAAGAAAATCAATAGATAAAAATCTTTCAACAAGCTATGATATGTATGCTCAAAACTAACTCAAGCACAAAAACCTTGGCAAAGAAAGAAGAGGATATTAGAAAAAAACACACAGAAATTTAAGAACTGAAAAAAATTCAGTAATCAAAATACAAAGCTCAGTGAGTGGGCTTAACAGGGAAGTGGAGAGGAAAGAATCAGTGAACTGCAAGAGAGAAAAATAGAAACAACACAGACTAAACAACAGAGAGGAAATAGGCTGGAAGGAACCTGACAGAACCACAGGGACCAGTGGGACTGTAACAAACGATCAGATGTTTGTGTCCGTGAAGTTCAAGGAGAGGAAAAAAGAAAACGGAGCTTAAAAAAGAAAGATTGAATTGCTGAAAACTCTTCAAATTTGGCAAAAGACATAACCTAGATTCAAGAGTCGAGAAGCTGAGTAAACCTCAAACAGAATAAACCCTAAGAAACCCACATCAAGACACATCATAACCTGTGGGGTACAGGCGTGCACCTGTGTGCTCAGCTACTCGGGAGGCAGAGGCAGGAGGATCCCTGAGTCCAGGAATTAGAAACAGGCCAACATAATGAGACCCTATTAAAAAAAAAAAAAAGCACCAGACTCATAAAGCACTCCTGTAATCCCAGCAGTACTTGGGAGGTTGAGACAGGAGGATGGCAAGTTCGAGTCCCACCTGGGTGATTTCACAAAACCCTGTCTCAGAATAAACATACAAAAGCCATGGGTTCAATCCTTAGTACTGAAAAAAAAAAAAAGAAAAAAAAGAAGAGAAAAGAAAAGAAAGAAGGAAAGGAGAGGGCTAGGCATGTAGCTTAGTGGTAGAGCACTTGCCTAGAAAGAAAAGAGGGCTGGGGATGTAGCTCAGCAGCACAGTGCCTGCCTGGCAAGCGCAAGGTACTCAGTTCGATTCCTCGTTAAAAAAAAAAAAAAAAAGAACCAGAGAAAAATAGCACTGTACCTTTAGGGAACAATCTATTTGAGGGCCAGGGATATAGCTCAGTGGCACAAGCAACTGCCTGGCAAGTGCAAGGTCCTGAGTTTGATTCCCAGTATCAAAACAAACAAACAAACAAACAAAAACAATTTGAATAATAGCAGATTCTATCTCAGAAATCACAGGATAGAAGAAAATGACATGATATTGTTAAGTACCAAAGTAAAGAACTGTTCAGAGCCGTATTCCCAGAAGAAATACATTTCAGGAATGAAGATGAAATAAAGACATTCTCAGAAGAAAGAAAACTAAGAATTTATTGCCAGCCAGGCATGATGGCACACACCTGTAATCCCAGCACTCAGAAGGCTGAGGCAGGAAGTTTGCCATAAGTTCAAGGACAGCCTCAGCTACATAATGAGTTCAGGACCAGCCTGAACTACATAGCAAGACCATGTCCCAAAAAACAAAAGACAAAACAAACAAACAAAAAAGGATTTATTGCCAGCTGAGAATCCTGAAAGTTCTTTAAACAGAAAGGAACGATCTTTAAACAGAAAGGAAGGATCTTTAAACAGAAAGAAGGAATCTTAAAATATCAGGAGGGTAGAAAGAAAAGGTAAACAAATAAATGGATAAATAAAATAGGCTTTTCTCTTCCTCTTGATTATTTTAGCCCCTTAGTGCTGGGGATTGAATCCAGGGCTTGGCACATGCTAAGAACATATTCTACTTTTCTGGGTATAGTAGAACCTGCCTATAATCCCAGCACTCAGGGGCTGACGCAGGAAGATTACTGCAAGGTTGAGGCCAGCTTGAAGTACATATTAAGACTCTGTCTCAGAAAGCCAAAACCAAATCAAAACAAAACAAAAAATATAATTTATCACAGAGCCATAGCTTCAGGCTTATACAGTTGAAGTAAAAATAGTAGCACAATGTGAGTACTTCTAAATGTATACATGGGAATTTTTTAAAGGAATTGTATTGTAAATGGGATCACAGAAGGATCACAGAAGACAGCAGGTAAAATGACAGCAATAGGCTGTGACCATACACATGTAATACCTAGAGCAATCACCAAAAAATACAAAAAGATACATTCAATATCATCATAAATAAATCAAAACGAATTCTAAAACACTCCTGAAAATGTTCACATCCCAAAGAATAAAAAAAAATGAGTCTCTGATTATATGAATAACTGACTGAATAAACAAATAAATGGGGGAGAAGAGAAATCTTCCATGGAGAATGCCAAGTAATTTATAGATTATCTGTCGCTCAAGGCAGCAGAGCAGAACTCCTCACCATAAAGACAGCCTAGGGCATTGCTGCTTGTTCCCAAAGAGCCCCAATGGAGAGGGAAGCAGGAAGGCAAGAATAACTTCATGGGAAGAAGCAGGAGAGCTCAACCTCAGCCTGGCTATCAAGATTGGCATCAAGGTCCGGGGATATAGCTCAGTGGCACAACCTCTGCCTGGCAAGTTTAAGGTCCTGAGTTCGATTCCTGGTACAAAAAAAAAGATCGGCATCAGGCCAAAGTCATGTATGTGCTCTTGGTGTGGAATGAAAACAGAGCTTCACCTGTGCCATCCTTGTCTCTAAACCCCCAACCCAAGCCTAATCAAGAGGAAAGTATCAGACAAACCTCACCAGAGGGACATTCTATAAGACACTCAATGACCCACCGTGGTGGCACTGAGGCAGGAGGGTCACTGTGAGGTCAAGAGGTCAAGCCCAGCCTGAGCTACAAAGCAAGACCCTGTCTCAAAGACCAAAAACAAACGAAAAAGGATCAAACGATACCAGAAACAGGAAAATCTCCAAATACATGGAAACTCAGCAGCTTAAAACCCCGTGATGCTGATGAAGTCAGAAGTCTAAACAGTGGACAGAAAGCACATGCTCACGGGATGGAAAGTTCAGCAGGGTAAAGGTTCTCCCCACAGTGACACACACATTTGACCCCGTGCCTATCAAAAGTAAGCAGTAAGGCCTGGGCCCAGTGGTGTGTACTTGTAATTCCAGCTATCTGGGTGGCTGAGGCAGGAGGATCACACATTCGAGGCCAGCTTGGGCAACTTAGTGAGACCATATCCAAATAAAATCAAAGAAAATAAAGGGCTAACACTGTAGCTCAGCTGTGGGGTGCTTTCCTAACATGTGCAAGGCCCTGGGTCCAACCCTTAATACCACAAAAGCAGAGAGTAATTAGTCTGCCTGCTTTCAAGACCTCCTACATACAAAACAAGTAGATCAGTGAAACAAAGCAGAGAACTCAAAAACAGATCCACACAAACACGTCTAACTGATTTTTAAAAAGCACTGTTGCAAAATAATCAAATAGTGGAAGGATGGACTATATTTTTCCGGTACTGGCGGTTGAACCCTGGACCTTTATACTGAGATTCAAGCCTAGCTCTTTTGTTTTAATTTTGAGTTAGGGTCTCACCAAATTGCCACATTGCCCAGGTTGGGCTTCAGCTTCCTGCCTCAGCCTCTCCGAATGCTGAGATTACAGGTGTGCGCCACCACATCCAACTCTTTCCCTTTGCTTTTCTCCTTCCTCCCCCACCTCGTCCTCTTCCTCTTCTCCTTCTCCTCCTCTTTCTCTTCTTCCTCCTTCTTGTTATTTTTTTCTCTTTTTTTTTCTTTCTTTTTTTTTGTACTAGAGATTCTACAGGGACTTTAAAAATATTTATTTATGTATTTGTTTGTTTATTTATTATTTTGAGACAGGCTTTCACTAAGTTGCTCAGGTGGGACTTTTGATCTTTCCTGCCTCTGCCTCTAAGTGCTGGGATTGTGGTTGTTGCCACCGTACCCTCTAAGAAAGACTTCTCAATAAATGGTGGCTGGAGCAATTGGATACCCACAGGTTAAAAAAGAACTTATACCTTATCTAAAAATTAACTCAAAATGCATTATGAACTTAAGTGTAAAATATAAAGATATAACACGTTGGAGAAGATCTCAGGATCTCCTAAGCAAAGAATTCTTCAACTGACACAAAAGCACAAATGGATAAAAGGAAAAATTGATCTCCCTCACCATTAAAAACTTTTGACTCCATTAAGAAGAGAAAAAGACCTGGGAGTGGTAATGCACAACTGTATTCCCAGCACTCAGGAGGCTGAGGCAGGAGGATCATTGCAAGTTCGAGACCAGCCTGGACTACAAAGTGAGCTGAAGGCCAGCCTGAACTACACAGAGAGACCCTGTCTCAAAAAGACAAAAAAAATAAAAGAGAGAGAGAGAAAAGGAATATGATCATCATATATATCAAAAGTGAAACAATAAAATTAGTTTTAAAAAAAGAACTTGCCGAGATCCTCCTGCCTCAGGTTCCTGAGTGCTGGGATCACAGATGTGCGCCACCCCGCCTGGCCTGGACAAGCACCTTTCGCTGCATCACACTAAGCACTCTGCATTATGGCTGTTCTCTCTCCTGCTCGTTTTCTTTTCCTCTTGCTGCAGTGCTGGCTTCCAAAGCAGGGCTATGTGCACATCACACCCCGCCCCAGCCCATTTGACTAAGCTCGGAGCCTCATTGTCTTAGTGACTGTTTCCCATAGCCACCAGTTTGAGGCCAGCCTGGGCTACATAGGAAGAGCCTGTCTTTTTTTTTTTTTTGTACCAGGAATTGAACTCAGGACCTCAAGACTGCCAGGCAGGTGCTGTGCCACTGAGCTATATCTCTGGCCCAAGACCCTATTTAAAAAAAAAAAAAAAAAAACCTTCCATAGAAATTGTACCAGTTTCTACTCCCTCTTGTAATGTGTAAGGATTTGGGCAACTGCTACATCTCTGAGCCTCTATGTCCTTTTCTGTGGCATAAGTGAAACAGGGCCTGTGCTTGGAATTCCTGTGATTACTGGTGAGGACGTGTGTCAAGTATTGGGCCATACCAGGCATGGTACCCCATGCCTGTAATCCCAGCACTTGGGAGGCTGAGGCAGGAGGATCACTAGGGGTTCAAGGCCAACCTGAACTACATAATGAAACACTATCTTAAAAACAAAACAAAACAAAATAACACAAGAAATTATTTGGCCATAGGAAATGGTGCCCTCTAGATCAGCATATTGTTTTACAGTATTTTGAATCAGTGAGATTTCTTTCCCCACCAGGCAACTGAGTATGACAGGACCTCTGCTCAGGTCTGGGGTTTTCTGATGAGAATGAGGGGCAGTTTCTGCACTCAGATTAGAAGAGTTGTGGGCACCGCTGGTGCCAGGGTGCCATGTCACCCAGCACCTCTGCCTCCCCATTATGGCTTGTATTTGCAGGGAAAACCCACCTGCATAACCGCATTGACTCCAAGAGCAGTCAGTGGGATAAAGGGTCCTTTCCCCTGATCATCCGGAAGCTGGAGGTGAAAGACTCAGAGTTCTACATCTGCGAAGTGGATAACAAGAAGATGCCAGTGGAGCTGCAGGTGTTCAGACGTGAGTGGGGCAGGCCAGGATGTGACCCCTCTAACCGCCCGGAGCCAGGGCCTGCGCTGGGGATGCTTCCCAGCTCCCAGGTGGGCTGGGCTGGGAACCAAGGGTCCTCATGCCTTCCTCAGGCCTTGGTCATGCAGAGAAGAGAAAAAGGGCTAGAGAGAGGGAGAGGAAGGGGAGGAACCAGGGAAGGAGGGGAGAGACTGGGGAAGCAGGGGCGCGGGAGAGGAGGAGAAGAGGGAACCGGAGGCCCGCCCTGGACTAGGGGTGGGCAGCGGGGAACTGGGAGGGAAGGTGACATGGGGACAGGACAGTGAGGAGACTCTCTTGTTTCCTCTACCCTCCTCACTGGGGATGGTGGGTGTGACCCAGGTGATCTGCTCCCTCCACAGTGACTGCCAGCTCAGGCACTCGCCTGGTGCAGGGGCAGACTTTGAGCCTGGCCGTGGAGGGGCCCCGGGACAGCAAGCCGTCAGTACGGTTCACCAGCCCAAGGGGTGAACCTATCGAAGGGAAGATGAACATCTTAGTGCCTGATATGAAGGTCCAGGACAGCGGCACCTGGAAATGCACCGTCTCCCAGGACAATAAGCAGCTCCAGCTGGACATCCACATCTTGGTGCTAAGTAAGAGGGGATCTTGCTCTGAGTGTCCTGCCTGCTCAGGGGGCTCCTAACCCCTCTACTCTCACTGCTGCTATGGGGTAGGGGCAGGTCCTGGGCCAAGAAACCCCTAGGGCTGAGCGCTGACCTAAGGGACCTCTCTCCTCAGGGAGCTGATTAGAGCAACCCTTCAGGGACCTCCTTTCCTTGCTGCCTTGGCTCCCTGGCCCTACCAAGTTGGCAAAGCCACTCAGGGACACTGGTGACATTTGACACTGCACCTCTACAGTGCTGAGCTAAGCACTGTGGTGAGAGCCAGTGCCCAGGAGGCATCTCCAGGTGTGACATAAAGCAGTGCAGTGTAGTGCATGGATTCTGATTTAAATCCTGACTCTGCCACAACCACACGACCCTGGACGAGGCACTGAACATCTGCACCTTGGTTTCTGCATCTGACAGTATCCACTTGCAGCATCACGGTGACACCTGGTACATGGGATACATCCAAGACAGGGCCTGGCATGCAGTAAGCCCTGTGTAGGTGTCGGCTTTCACCAGGCATGGTGGTGCACACCTGTAATCTCAGCATTTGGAAGACTGAGGCAGGACGATTACAAGTTCAAGGCCAGCCTGGACTACATAGCCAGATCCTGTCTCAAAAAAAAATGTTTTTTTGAAATGTTGGGAATTACGCTTCTCAGGGGCATAGGCCTGATGGCTTCTGTGAGGCTTTCAGTAAGGGCTCTCCGGAGGAGGGTGGGAGCTGCCTGGGAACGGAAAGGGCTGGGCTGGCGAGGTGGTGTGGGAGCAAGACTGCAGGGGCGGGAGTGGAAGCGCCATACCCACCTTGACAAGCTCTGTGTGTGGACTCACCTGGTCCCCTTTGTTCTCTGCTGCCCCTGCCACACTGGCCACCGCACTTTCCTCTCTTCCCCTCTCTTTCCACCTCCAGGTTTTCAGATGGGGAAGACACCCAGCACCTTCTACAACAAAGAGGGGGAGTCGCTGGAGCTGTCCTTCCCGCTGACCTTCGACAATGAAAACCTGCTGTTCCATGGGGAGCTGAGCTGGCAGGCAGACAGGGCTTCTTCCTCTCAGTCCTGGATCACCTTCTCCGTGGAGAACAAGAAGGTGACCATAGTAAACGTCGCCCAGGACCCCAAGCTCCAGATGGCGGAGAAAACCCCTCTGTGCCTCACCCTGTCCCCAGTCTTGCTCCAGCACGCTGGCTCCGGAAACCTGACTCTGACCCTGGACAGAGGCCAGAGGCTGCACCAAGAAGTGAACCTGGTGGTGATGCGGGGTGAGGGCTGGGATGAGAGGGGTCAGGTGCGCTGGTGCAGGATGACCGCTGAGGCCAGCCAGGCCCCAAAGGAGGATGCTGAGGTCTTGGTTGCCTGGTTGAACAGATCAAGTGCCCTGTGGGTTGGGGCTGCTTTGTTTGTCTTTTGGTGCTGGGAATGAACCCAGAATCCAGAACACCCTAAAGCTAACAAGTAGGGCTTTAGTTCTGCCTGTGCCCAACCCTGGCTAAGCATCCTACCAACTGTGGAACTGTTGTCTCTTCCTTTTTCTAATAGGGATAATGAAACGTTCCTTGTATGCTAGAAGCGATGGTAATATCAAGACTAGCACTGAAGCTTTTGAATTATCTCCTATCATCTTAGCACTTCCCCACATAACGGCTAACACTGGATGCTCAGGACCCGCTAGCGCCCCTCTTCAAACACTTTACATGAATTCTTACATTGAATCATTCTCCTGGGATCAGGTTGTTAAGTACCTGGTCCAGGAATGCACAGGTAGTTAAGAAGTAGAGCTGGTTAGGATTCAAATCCAAGACCATTGGACCCCTAACGATACATGAAAGGGTGCAAAGGATCACTGACTTTCCTCCTGACCCCCTCAAGTGCTTGAAGGGCCCTGAGGGCCAACTCAGGGTCTCAGTCTCTGCTTTCTCTGCAGTGACGCAGAACCAGAGCTCTCTGGTCTGTGAGGTGCTGGGACCCACCTCCCCCACGCTGGTGCTGAGTTGGAAGCTGAAGGACAAGAAGCCTCAGGTCTCGAAGCAAGAGAAACAGGTTCAGGTGTTGCTTGCTGAGGCAGGGACATGGCAGTGTCTCCTGAGTGATGGGGACCAGGTCCTTCTGGAGTCCAAGGTCGACGGTGAGGATCCAGGTTTCAATGCATTCAAGTCTCCTGAGCTGTGGGACCTTTGGGGGAGGGGGTAGCAGAGACCACAGTCCCAGCCTCCTGGACCAGAGAGGGTTATTTGTATGGTGGCCTGGAGACATAGGAGTGAGAAGGCAGTGTGGTAATGGACTACAGGTTCCCTTTTGTAGCCCTCTGGGATCCCTAAAGTCTGCAGGCTGGGGAAGGAGCCTCCTGGCCAAAAGCTCCCCTTCCTGCCCCCAAACTCAGACACACACTGGCCTGGGGTCTGGACCCCTGCTTCTTGCTCTGCAGAGTGCCCTCAAACCTAAACTGTGAAGCCCTTCCCAGCCTGTGCTCTCAGTCCCCGGGGATGGTGTTTGAGAGCTCTGCACACCCTGCTATCTCATCTAGCCCTGGGATGGGACCCCAATTTGCCTCTCCAGCAGCTCTGGCCCAATGGAAGCGGTGCACTGAGCACCCCTCTGCCCTGCAGCTGTGTTCACAGGGCTGCACCAGGACCAGTCGATGTTCCTGGCTATAGTGCTGGGGGGCACCCTGGGCTTTCTGTTCCTCACCGGGCTCTGCATCTTCTGTTGTGTCCGATGCCGGCACCAACGGGTAAGTGAGCCTTGCAGACCCCCCACCATGTCTCCCACTGGGCCCTGGAGCACCCAGGCCTAAGTTCCCTCACTGCAGACCAGGCCCTGCCTCAGCTCCCTTGTGGAGGGAGAGGCAGGAAAGAGCAGAGTGGATCTCAGGACAGGTGGCTTCAGCCACAGCCATGTTTCTCCTCTCCCAGCTTCCCCCACTCCCTTGTCTGAGGGACACCTCCCTCCTGGAGGCCTGGGACCCTCACAACTCCTCTGCTTTTCCCTGGGCAGCGCCAGGCAGCGAGGATGTCTCAGATCAAGCGGCTCCTCAGTGAGAAGAAGACCTGCCAGTGCTCCCAGTAAGGAGGGCAAGGAGGGAGAGAAGGGGCAGGAGAGAGGGAGAGACGGGGGAGAGGAGAGGGGAAGGGGTGGTTGGAGGAGAAGAGGCAGCAGGCCAGGAGAGTCTCTGGTGGCCGCCGCGGAGCTACCACTGCCCTGGGAGAGAAAAGCAGGGTCTGGGAGCCATGATGGTCCCAGGTTCCACAACGCTGAGGGGCTGGGGGCTGGATCTGCATCTCCTTGTCTTCCTCACAGCCGGCTGAAGACTCGCAACGTCACTTGAGGCCTTGAGGCGTCCCCAGCCGTCCACCGTGTCTCCTGTCAGGCGCGGACCAGATGAATGTAGCAGATCCCAGGGCTCTGGCCTCCTCCTTTCCCCGGCTCCGCCACTTGCCATTGTTTCTCCTCCTCTGCTCCCAGCCAGACTGGGCTCTTAAGCACACTGTTCCTTCTCCAGAAGCTCAAAGGCACTGTTCATGCTCTGCAAACCCCAGCCCGCTCAGGTCTCCTGAGCCCCTCCCCAGCAGCCACACAGTGAGTAGGACCTGCCAGCCTGGAAACACAGCAGGTGCCTGTCAGCTTGCAGGACAGGATCCTGTGACCAGAGAGCAGGAACTCGCTGAGGACCACACAGCCTGTCAAGGACAGAAGCAGATCCACAGGCCCTGAAGCCAGCCCCCTCTACCCCGGACTGCCTGCCCCTCAGCCTGTGTTGGCAGGACCACCTCACATCCTGACCGGCACACAAACAGGCCTCCATGGACACATACCCATGTACACGGCCACACACTTGCCCTTGTGCACAATTTCTTATCACCCAGGCAGCGTATCTCAATTTATAAACCGGTGCACATCCTCTGTCTGTTTTGTTCTTTATGAAAACCCCAGCCCGGCAGCGTGGTGCTGCACGCTTGTAATCCCAGCACTCAGGAGGCTGAGGCAGGAGTGCTCAGAGTTGGAGGCCAGTCTGGGCTATATAGTGAGTTTAAGGCCAGTGTGAAGTACCCAGTGAGACCCTGTCTTAAAAAAAAAAAAAACTTAATTAAAAACAAAACTGGGAATGAAGCCTTCACTTCTCTTAGAGCACAGGCTGGGAGAGAAGCTCAGTGACGGCCACTTACTCCATGCAGAACTGTCCGGAAGGTGAGTTTAGCTGGCAGGAAGTTAGGCTGGGCCTGAGCCCCATGAGGGGATGCCTCAAGGAAGGCCCCAGTCCCCCAGCCCTGCAACTCCCATTCTCCCCCAAGCCTTCAGGACACTGGGAAATCGGGTGACACACGCTCTTCCTCCTCTCCCTGGTCCATTTCTCTCAGGATCCCCAGCCAGGTTCTGCCTCTTCAGGCTCTGCCCTTTCTCACCTCCGCCCTCAGGCTCGCCCTGTTCCCCACTTTTCCTCTGACCCTTTTCTTCCCAACTTGGCTCTTCCAGAAAGACCATCAAGGGCAGTCGGCTCCCCATGCCTGCTGCTTTGGGCTGAAGGAAAAACAGAATAAACGTCCTATGAAGACGCTGTGTGTGTCTGTGTGTGTACGTGCGCACACGCATGAGCCCACATCCTTTTAGAGTCTTGCACAGCCGCTCCCCAGCCCCAAGTTTGCACCCCAACCCCCCTGGCTCCCGACCCGCCTCCGCCCCAGCCCTGGGAGCTGTCCCCGAGGCACAGCCCTCACACGGAGGCACACGGTGACACACGCTTGCTTCCTCCTCTTCGAACACCCAGCTCCCCGTCCCCACAACACCAGCTGGCTCCTCGGGCTGGGTGGAGGAAGGACACGGATGCCAGCCGAGCCGCGTCCTCCTCGCCCCCACCCCCGGCGCCGTACTCGCCCCACCCCCTGTC